TTCTATAGACTTATCAGCGGTTCCTATACTTACACATGTGTTTTGAGTATCAATAGGAATATGGTCATTCAAAATGGTTTTATCTCGGATGAAGAATTATGATATAATATAACTTTTTTTATTCTATATATTATTACAATTACATTTTGATTATTCATATTAAAATAAATTACATTTTTATTACGCATAATACATTTTTTCTTTATTATTATTATTTTTTAAAATTTTATTTTGATCTTGCTTTTTAGATACATTTTCATTATTAAATTAAGCTCTTTTTAAGATCTTCGATACTATTAATGTATATTTTTATTTAGTAATTTTATATATTTTTACATTTTTTTATATATTTGTTTTAATATTTTAATGTTTTAATGTTTTATCATTTTTTTTAAAATTATACCAATATCAAATTATTTTTATTATTATGAATTACATTTTATTTATCCTCCTTTAACCAAAAAAATATGTTCCAATATGTTCCTTTTATAATTTTTTTAAAAAATAAATAAATCATGAAATAACCAATTATATAAAATGAAAATGTTCGTTTAAAATTAAATTTAACTTGAAATCAAAATATATATCAATTGTCAAAATAAATTAATTTTAAAATAATGTTAATATAAACTAAAATTATATTACCTAAAGGTGTTAATAAAATAAATTTTTAAATCAGACTTATTTAACATCGGCGATCATTACAAATAAATCGGTAAAATATTAAGGTTTAGTGGGTAGATTTACAATCAGATAACCTACTTAAATATCATATAAGGTCGTTGCCCTTGAAAATTATAGTCTCACAAATTTTACTCTTTACCACTCACCTCATTGCTCCACAAATTTATCATTTTAAGATTTGTCGTATCCAGGGTCAAAAATGGCATAGCTATAATAATTCTTAAAGATAAGCTAGAAAGCCCGAACCGAGTTTATTTGTTAGCTTAGACATTGGAGTGATATATTCAATGATATATATAACATAGATTGGCGATTCATTCATTAAAAACGTCCTCACATTGCAATCAGCTGTGGCGCCATTTTGTAGCCAGAACGTTGATCAAATGCCTCATCATTATTATTATTATATTTTTAAATTCTCTATATATGGATATAGGCAGAGAAGTGGAATATATGAATAGAAATGTTACTGGGCACGCTACCTTAGTACATAGTAATAGCGAATACAGTAAGAAATTACTTGACTTCTGTTGTAATAAAGATTTCAAAATTGAAAACACTTTTTTTAGTCATAGTGATAGGAATACGTATACCTTTGTAAGAGCTCAGCAGCAATCACAAATTGACTTCTTCATCTCGAATATTCATCGTTGGTTAGTGGATGTTAAAGCCCTAACTAATATGAACTTGTCAGATCATAGACTGCTTAGAGCAATTATTATAGTTAAAAATTTATGGGGGTATCATAACGGAAATAGACAATCTTCTACTAGATCTAGCGCTACTCCCTTGTGTAATGTAATAACTCGCAAACTGAGTAAAATAAGAACATTAGATGATGTAAGATATTTTGATGAGATATTAAGTGGGAAAGAAGCCAGCTATTTGAACACTATTAGGCTTGCAAGTGTTGAGAAAAGCTGGAATCTTTTTAAAGATGCCCTAGTCGACACATACAAAGTATTGCCAGATGTAAGTCTTATCCATAGGAAGGAGTGGATGGCGAATGATACCCTGGAGAAAATAAACCAGTTAAGAACAGCGTTTAGCTCTAATAAGGATCTTTGGAAGATGATACAAAGATTACTGCGGAGAGATAGACGGGTTTATAGTGCGAAGAAAGCGTTTGATATTGACAAAGATGTAAGAGAAAATAGACTACATGATGCATATAAGAAATTAAAATATTTTTGTAAACCTAACAGTTTTCAGAAGGTACCCTCAATAGTATTAAATGATGGTAAAATAATAATTGATCAAGATGAACAGATGGCGCTGTGGCTCGATTACTATATTACGGTTTTCGATGGACGTAAAGTAACTAGAGCAACAAGTGTAAATATAAATATGGCTTCACCCCAGTCTGGGTTCACTGTAATGGAAATTATGAATGTAATAAAGAAATTACGAAACAATAAAGCTCCGGGGCTTGACAACATTACGGCGGAACATCTGAAGATTGCACCTAGAACGACATCTTCTTTCCTACTAGCCCTATTCAATAAAATATGGGAGAACGGAAGTACCCCTACTGAATGGAACAAGTCCCTTATATGCAATTTTCCCAAAACTGCAAACCCTCTGAAATTCACTGATTATCGGGCGTGTGCTTTAACATCTTGTGTGTCAAAGATATTTATGGTACTTATAAAGAATAAGATTGTTCATTCGACGCCTAATCTTTTTTCTAAATATATTTGTGCTTACAGGCCAAATAAAAATATACTAGAACCCATATTATCTCTGAAGATTATAATGCAAAAGTGTTATAAATATAAGATTCCGTCATTTTACACATTTATTGATTTCAGTAGAGCATTCGATAATGTTAATCATGAAGCGTTGTGGGAAACGCTTGTAGAATGTGGTATTGAAACCCAGATAATTCGTATCTTAAAAAATCACTATTCGAATTTATTCGCTTGTTTCAAAATAAATAATAAAATCTCTCCCTTTTTCAGGATTAAAAAAGGGGTAAAACAAGGCTGTACCCTCTCACCTCTCCTATTTAACATAATCATCAATAAAATAATAAAAGAAGTATTGGGAGCTGCAGATCTAGTAGACATAGGAAAATTTTTTTTGTTAATAGGATAGTATCCTATGCAGATGATATTGTAGTGATTTCGAAAAGCATTGAAGAGACCAAAAATCTACTTTATCTAATGGAGACAGTAAGCTATAGAGTTGGACTTAGGATCAACTTTAACAAAACGGTTATTCTTCCCTCCCCAAATGCGCCTTCAATTCAAGATTTACAGTTGGAGGGAATACAGTGAAAATAGTAGAGAATATAAAATACTTAGGGGTAATCTTGGATAACAAAAGAAGTTGTAAAGAGGAGATGAAGACGAGAATACAGAAAGCTAGAGGTGCTTTCTACAGATATATGAAAATATGGAAAGCTAGCGAAATTTCAGTGTTTACTAGATTGAGAATATTCAACTCGTTGATTGTTCCAATTGCATTATATGGTGGAGATATCTGGGAGGCAAACAAAACAGAGATTAGACGGTTTCAATCTTTTATAAATAATTGTCTTCGTACGATACACGGGATTTTCTATCCAAGAGTAATCTCTAACTCGAATCTTTGGAGGAAGTCTACTCACACACCAGTGAATATTACTCTTAAGAAAAGACGGATTCAGTTATTAGGCCATGTAATAAGAAACTCTGATAATAATTTAGTCCATGATGCCATAACATGGCTGTACTCATATAAAGGTAAACAGTACACAAAATACAAAACATTATGGTACTATAAAACTATAAAAGATATAATGGATCTAAACGTTAACATGAGACAATTCATTAAACTGAACAACAATAAAAGATCCATTAAAAAACTGTTTCGCATCAAGAGAAGTTACCTTCAATAAATACAAAAATACATTCTCATAATGTATGTTACATTATCATCTCCCATTAATCCTATAGTATATTTACCATCGTAATAAATTTCAAAAAATATAAACTCATCATTATCAAACATTTCCAATACCATCATGCATTCAAATCCTCTCATAAGTATATTTTATATTTCCTTACTAAAAATTGTTTAATATAGTAAATATTTTTAATGGTAAATTGTCCTCAACCCACCACAACGTAATTAACTTTCACTGTAGTTATTGGGTATAGGCTCTTTTTTTGTCCCATTCCCTTTTATATAAGCCTATAGAGGTTTAAGTAATATTTTTCGAAATGTTGCGCCTACAAGTAGGTGCGGCTTGCCCACAAACGTGTGGAGGGCTCCTCATATTTTAACTTTTATACCCAAATTTAACTGTTCCAATAAGATGGAAATGAGGAAAACCTAGCGTAGCTCTGTTGCATTTCAACACTAGAGGGCATAAGCGCTATATATCACGTATCACGTATATCATTACAAAATAAATTCTCACCTCAACTGATGATTTTAACAAGTTCTTCAATTCATTTTATTAGTAATCTAAAATATAAGACTCAAGATATACATATTTAAAAAGCCACAATACCACCCTTCATGCAAAATATTCCATACCTCTATCTATTATACCCTCAAAAAATCCACCAAATAATCTCCAATTAACCTTACCACCCAGATTCCTTTAACCAATATGGATCAAATGCCTCAATCATTATTTTTAAATTATCTATACCAATACAAAATAAATTCTCACCTCAACTGATGATTTTAGCAAGTTCTTCAATTCATTTTATTAGTAATTTAAAATATAAGACTCAAGATATACATATATAAAAAGCCACACTACCACCCCTCATTTCCAAGAATATTAGCTTTTATAGTTTTATCAAATTCACTTGATATTTCAATAAAAATCTTGTTACACACATGTTGTTCATTTATAGAATCTTTTAATTAAAAATAATAAATATATTATTTTTATATTTTACATATATAATCTTTTATGATTCCTGTCTTAATAATAAATATCATAGATGCACCTATATTTATTGTAGTAGCTAGTACTTTTAATTTTATATAATATAGTGGCTTATAACTTAAAACAATAATCACTCATAAGTTTATGTAAAAAATAGACCTGTATAGATAAAATTAAATAAAATCTACAAATTTTGTTACTAATAAGAGAAATAGGTGCTGTTAATTTTTTTATTTTGTATTATTAATTTTATTATAAAGGAAGAACTAAAGATAACTCCAAAAGTATATACTATTAAGATTCTCTTCATAGTTGATCATTTGTTATGTTTTGATTATTTCATCTTAATTATAAATGACAAATAAAAAAATATCTTTTATTTTTTTTCAATAAATACATAATGTAATAATATCATTTTTTGCTTGAGTATAAATTATATTATATAAATCATTTATTTAAAGTATATTTAATAAGTATATAATGATATAAATGTATAGGCCTTGAAAAGGAAAAGATATTGCAACAATTCACTTTCATATTATTTTTGAGTACATTTTTGTCATTTTTGATTATATCATCACCTATAAAAAATTAATATAATTAATTAGCATAGATAATATATAAGATCATAATTTTTATAATATGCCTAATATATGGTCATTCCTTATACAATATAATTTTTAAAATATAAAAGAAGATATATATATTATTATATATGATGACTTATTGATTATTAAATTGTATTGCTTTCGTAAGATTCTGTCGCATACCAGTTCTCAATTCCTGGTTTCTTAAGTAAGCAAAATGATAAAATCTAATATTTAAATATCTTTAAAAAAAATAGTATAAAATCTAATAATTGTTTACTTTTGAACAATTAATTTTACAAAAATTTGAAAATGGCTGTACCCAATTTCATGTTCAATGATATGATCAGATCAATAAAGAGATTTGTGCCTATTCAAAAAATATTAAACTCATTTCTTTTAAATATTTGTACCTATTATTTTGGAAAAAATTAATACTTCAATTTTTTTTAAAATATTTTTATGTGTGATTTCATTTTGATAAGTTCTAAATGAACTTTCACATATTCTGCATAGTTTGGACATACTAGTAGAAGGTATCACCAACCCCCCCCCCCCCCCATTATTTTTAATATTTATTAGCATATTATTGATATTATTATCATTATAAGAATCACTAACCATTGCTGTAATGCAAACATCACAACGTAGCTTTTTTTCTTTAATAAGTTGGTGTACAATATATCCCGATATATAAGTTGATACATTATCTAAATATAAAGATAATTTCGGGATATGTGGGTTTGTGTTTCTAAAATAATAAGATGAAGTGGTGGGTATGGGTACTAGATTGGCTATAGGTTTGATAATGTTAACATCATTATGATTATTTTGAAAATTTGAACATAATACGTGTGTATTATCTAAGGAAATGCTATTTCCCGTGATTGTTGGATCTAATTTCGCTATTAATGTAGTGCGAACAGCAGATCGTAGTTGATAAGCTGATGGATTATCATTAAATCCACTCCTGCTACGAATACTACAAAAATATAATTCTAAATGATCTTGTGATGTTTTATACGTTAAAAAGAACCTTAAAAAAATATTATTATATTAAAATTTAATGAATAACTCTTGTTATAAGTTAAATATAATACTTTATTTTAGGATTTTCTCCAATTAATAACTCCTTTCCAATTTCCAGGATACTTGTCATGGAATTGTTTTATTACAATTCTGAACACAGCACACTCCCATTTTCTAAATAAAATAATAAATTATAGTGATATTAGAAGACATGTTTTGTATGTATCCTAAAATGCATTAACATATGATTTATAAGTCCATACTGAATTATGTTAAACTATATTTTAAAAAATTAAAAGGAGGGTTAGTCTTAGAATCATTTTTTTTAGGTATAATCAGCTAATCTTTGTTCATAAAAATTCACTAGACTAAGAAATAATTAAAACAAATTATAATCTTACCATAATATTTGAGAATATAAGAAAAATAATATATAAATGGAAACTTTTCAAAATAAATTATCTTCGTAGACTAGTTTTGGCAATATTATATATGTATTAATATTTCATGCTGACAAATAATGGATATCCAAACTACAAAATGGCGCTACAGCTGATTGCAATGTGATATCATGCATTTAATGAATGAATCGCCAATCTATGTTATATATATCATTGGATATATCCTATAAGAGCTATAGAATTTAAAACATTGATTATGCCTCAAAACAAAAACTACCAGATAAAAAAAGTAAATGAAAAGGGCTTAAAAATATTTTTGATAAATATGTAAATAGCATGTGTAGAAATATATTTTGACCAAATTTGGAACAATTAACCTTAAAAATGAAATAGAAGTTTGTGCCTTTTTATGCCATTTGCCGTATAGCTGCGGCCTCATCCTACTAATATTTGATGAAATAATTTTAAAAAATTTATTATATTTACTAAAAAAATTTAGCAATATTTTACTTTTTTGCTGAATTAAATGTAAAGTTATTTTTGGTGGTTTATTTCAAATTCATATCATAGATCAAATTTAAACTCGATGTATAGTTTGATTATAATTTGCACTTTTAAGGCATAAAAAGTATATAATATTTGAACAAATTAAAAATTTTCATATTTCATGTGGATGGGCAGAGATTTCTCTCACCCTCAACTTATAATAACACTAGTGTAAACTATTATATAAATGAAAGATTACATAATATTTTTTAATTCACAAAATAACATATATTTTCCTACCCTCAACAATTAAAAATAGCATATTATATACATTTCCAAATATAAATCCCTGATCTATCACGTGACAAAAAAACATATGTTAACTCTTTAGAATTCGGCTTTGAAAAAATTCTTTTAAAATCATATGGATAATCCTCAACTTTCTTCACTCAACAAAAGATTTATAACACAAGATGAAATAGAAGAGTTAAAAAGAATAAGACAAGAAGAATGGGATAGGGTTAGAAAGCCCGAGGAGCCTAAAGGTTTAAAAATTGTATCAAATCAAAAATATAAACTATTAAATATCTACTATATTAACACATATTATACTAGAGAGACCAGAAGTGGAATATGACTCAAAATCTTTATTTGAAAGATTAAAGGAACAAAAAGACAAAGAGGATGCTATATATGAAGAAAGGAAAAAATTTAGTATTTTACATTTTTCTAAAAGTACCTCTATTTAAAAAAAATAGAAAATCAGATAAGAGGAATAAATGATGATGAATCTTCATTTTTGGATAATGTATTTGAAAAACAATACAAGAAAGAAAGGGATATTGAACATGAAGAACTTGTTGAACTAGCTCAATTTAGAATATCCTTTTTTGAATTTTAAATATATATATTGATTGACAATAAGAGTGGTAATAGTTTATCTAATCTCCTTAACTCTTGAATTATATAATATTTAAAAAATTTTTTACGAGGATGCCAAAAAATATAGTTTGGAACAATCATTAAAGGTACTTCCCAGCACAAATATCACTCAAGTTTCAAATTCATCTTCAATACTCCAAAATAATACATTGCAAGACAGAATTAGTCTCAAAAATTTGGTCAAATCAGGTATAATCAGAGTAAAACAACCTTCTATTAACAAAGAACACTCAAATATTAAAGATGCTCATAGTCAAAATCTCAATAAAGATTCTGATAAAAGTAAATCTCTAGAGAACAATAGCTTTGTATCTAACCTATTTTTTAGGATCTGATGGGATAGAAGTAGAAAAAAATTTCCAATTTTTTCTTTTTCTAAGATCCAATCCAAAATTTTATTTTAGAATAAAAAATATATATGAATATTTAAACCTGAGATGCACTAATACAATTTTTTTTTACCAAGACCAATATGATAATACATAATTTTCTATTTCCACAAACTATTTATTTATTTTATTAATCTAAGCAATAAAAATGTCTTTCAAAATTAAACTTAATTCAGAAACAAAATTTTAAAAGTAATAAGAAATAGAAGGAAAAAGAAAAACTACAACACCTTCTTTCTTTTAAAATAATGAATTCATATTTAGGAAAAAAATATGATTACAAACAAGGGGTATTGGCCACCTCTATAGTTTAAATTTCAAAAGTATCAAACAATATTCCTGAATATAATTCAATTCCTCATCAAAACAATATACTCAGCAAGGGAGCCAGGAATCTGGTCCCTCCTTTGAAAATATATATTATTGATTTTTCCTTGATAATCTCTCCATTAAATTTGACTGAACAATTGGAAGTACTAATTCTTAAATATGACAATGTTTTCTACATTAGTGTCTGACTTTAAACAGTATAGTAGCCAGCATAAAAGAAAAATTTAATTGGTATCATGCCAGGATGGGAAATATAAAAAAAAACTATATATCTGGCGTTCTCTAATATTTAATGCATGATAATCACAAATTGAAACCGAGTTACAAACAAAATAAAAACTGTGATATCACACTTTGAGCGCAAAGTTAGCCAAGTTTTTGGAAAAAGCTGAAACTTATACCAAACCAAGTACGGCTTTATTAGAAAGGGAAGAGAATTTATCAAAATCAGAATCATGCCAGAATGGAGAATATAGACTTTATAACTACCTGCCTGGTGTTGATATTTAGTGTTTTATCTACTAATTCTTTAATCAATTTTACCAGCCACAAAAAATTGACGGAATTACGAACCAAAAAGCGTGAAGTCATTCAAAGATATGGAAGCATTATCCATGATATTTATGTCAATACTTAGTGTGTATTTCATCTTCTTTTTAAAGCTTCAACCTAGGTAGTTTAAAGAAAAACATTAGCAGCAAAACAAAATAAAGTAGCAAGAAAGGCATCGTATTAGAAGGAAAATTATAGAAACAATGAGCGATATGTAAGGTAGAGACCTGCGGGTTGGGTACGGGCCTAATATTTTAAAATAAAATTCGGGTCGGGTCAGGCCTTGGTTTTTTAAAATATATTTAAATTTTTTATATTGAATTTTTTATGTAAAATAAAAATATTTCATTTTATTTATAGAACTAGTCGCCATATAACATATGTATTTTATTTTGAGTAATTATAAAAATTAATTTCTATAACGGACCGGGCTGTTAAATTTGCTTAAAAAAAATGTAGGATTTGGGCCGGCAAAACCTTTTTTTAAAAATTTCGGGCCGGGTCGGGCTTGAAAAATGTCCGATGCAGATCACTAATGTAAGTCATGATTAGTACATGCTTCAACAATTAGTGTTTTTAATCAATAAATTAAACCTGTTATAAGTGAAATAAAAACCTAAGTCACTTAAATATCTGTCTAAATACATTAAAACATTTCCCCAATTTAAAATATTTTAGAATCTTATGTTTTTTTTATGATCTCTATAGATGTTGCTTGTTCTTTTCAGTTTATTTAATTTATATTTAACAATATAAATTATTATTAAATTTAAAACTATCTAATTTGTTTAACAATATAAATTACATTGTTAAATTTATAAAATAAAAATTTTTTAAAAAATTTGGGGGGTTATGTGTAAACACTCCATTGTCTACGCCGCTGTATATATTTAAAGAAAAGCCAAAAAAATATAAGTCCTGAAGGAAAATAAGAAATTTTGGTGTTATTTTAAAAAATAATATTTATAAAACATTAAGAAAACAAAATAAAATTTTGTCAAAGTCTGATTCAGCTCTAAATTAAATTCTAGCTCCAAGAAAATCTCTATAGTGGTTGGACTTTATATATTTCCAAATACTCCCTGAAGAAAATGTAAATATTTTTTGAAGGATCATCAACATTACATATTTTGGAATACATTTCCCTTAAAATCGGAATTTCAAAATTCTAAAATTGCCCATCCCAATGCCATATATATATATAATTTCCACAAATTATAGTTTTTTCGATATATTTTTTCATTTATACTATAGCCCTTTACAATGAAGTATCCATTTCATCCCAGAAAAGGCCTCATTCTCCTCTTCCCAAACATTCTAATCATGCTGAATAATAAAACTGGCATAGAAAATCAATTACTAGCCACCGATAACGAAGCTATGATCACGAAGGGAACAAGTAAACCAAAAAATAACCATAAAACCAATGCCTTAAACACTATCTTTGCAAGTTACAAAAATGTAGGAGACTTAAATGATATAAGCAGTAGTTCATCGGAAGGAAGCCAAGACGATGAAAATCAACATACATCTGATACAGATGGAGAATAGATTTACAAAAACATGTGCTTATAAATGATGTCACATTGATAGAAATTTATAGAGATCAAAAATATACCGCGTTTCCTAATATTAATATAAATGATATAACTAATATAAATGTTTCAAATCAATGGCGAATATATTTTTTAAAATAAATTTTTGTGAAGGTGTAGGATATGATAAACCTAACTCTTCGATTTACATAAGCATTGGCAATCTTTTAGCAAAATTTGTTGTTTGACTAAAATTTTTATTTATCCATCTCAATGGTACTCTGGAGGTACCACTTATATAGCTATTTTTCTTAAAAGCACATTAACTACTAAGATTATGTCACCTGACTAGTAATATTTGATAATTAAAAGCTTCAAATGTGACCCCCCCCCCCCCACTATCATTCCCGCTTTTTATATACGTAATATATAAATGACCAGCAAATAATAAAATATTACATTTTATTATTAGAAGGAAAAATAAATGCAATTTTTCAATAAGTTCAGTGTTTAATTCATAAATAATATGAATCAACCAAGCAACAAAAATTTGATTATTTCGTTTAATATTAATTAATTTTTTTTTATAAATTTAAAAACGTCTTATCAATGAATTGTCCTTGCGTGGTTACTATATGGAGATTCAACAGTATAAATTGATTCAGAGTATGCCAGTCGTCGAAAATGGTGTATCTGGAATCCTTAGAGTTTATTAGAATACTAAATATAAAATTCTTATAAGCTCTATAAAATATTTAAAATAAATAACTAATAATTATAGCTTCTACTAAGAAAAAAAAGAAAAATACTATTGCATCGTTATATTATTTATAACTCATTAATCTAATATTATTATTACAATGCTTATTATTGGACTACACATGCTTACCTTCATTTCCGTAAAAAATCAATAAAAACTAACACAAGAAGAAACAAAAAAGAAAACCAAAAAGCCATTTTCAACAATAAAAAATCTAAGCACCAAAATCAGGCATTTTACAAAAGAAGCCAAATGGTTACAATATTCTTTGAATTAATAACTCATATAATATTGTTAAAATCACTAAACTTTACCCAAAGCTAATATGGTTTAGCTAAGCTTTTAGCCTTAAAAAATAGACATGAAGTTCGATTATTGAAACCAATCTTTGTGCTAAAAACTTAGCTAACCCGTTTTGGAGTTGGCCCAAATTAGGTGATTTAACAACACTAGGTCATAACTAATTGCGACACAAGGAATTTCAAATAAAAAATTTATGATGTTTAATACTATATTATATCTTTTTTAAATAACATTTCTATACATAAAAATAAAAGGATAAATTTTCAAAAATGAATCAGACATTTCCTTTAAAAATATATATATATGAGATTTTTACAGTTATAAAAAAATTAATTCAATTTCTGATAAAATTTCAGATCTTCTTAAGGGTTAGGGTTAAAAGGTTGAGCATTGGTTGAAAAAAGCCATTCTTGACATCTCCGTCTTACGTTCTTCTTATCGTCATCTCCCTTATTCTGTCATAAAATAATAAGATTTTATAAAAATCGTTACGAGATATGAAATCCACGAGGATTACTGAAAGACGATTTATCAATTTGAAAAAAAAAATCACTAATTGAATGAAAATGTATATCGCATGTATATAGGTATTTATTCTATAAATTTCAGGAAATTTTTTCATGATCTTAATTTTTTTTAAAAAAAATAGCAGTGTTTGAGCATGTAATGGTTAAAAAGAATGGCAATCCAAAAATTGATTGTCGCAGAAATATCAACTATAATATTCTATGACTTTAATATTTTTTTTTAAACAATGACTATCGAACTCTTTCATATAATGTATATTTAGAATACTAAATATTATAAACGGAATATATGAATAACCTAAGATATATTTTCTTAAAAAATGAATAAAATACCGGTAGCGACGTAGTCGGTTTATTATAATTGGTCATGATCATCCTCTTGAAACTGTCTTGAATATCCAATATGTCGCGTTCGTAATTGGGAGAAGGATAGTCAATGTAATCACTGATTGGTTGTCTTAAAGAATTTTCCTCAATTATCAGTCTGTAAATTTAAAAAAGGAGGTCATTTTTAATGATAATGACTTATTTAATTAAATTATAAAAACAATTTTTTTAAAAAAAATAAACCTTGACAAGTCATTTTCATAGTCATAAGCCTTATTTCCCGAAGGGATTTTGTAATCATAAGGAAGCGAATTGCTATAAGGGCAATCGTAAGTGGGTACACTAGAGTGCGATGTTTGTGAGTGGATAGATGGAACAGACATATCATTTTCTCTTAGATATTCTTGAAATCCGGGGTCGGCCAAGTAATTTTTTAGCAAAGAATCTTGTAAGTACAAAATGGAATAATAAATAATAAATACATTCAAATTTAATTAGATAGGTATATGCAAAAAAAGGTATTAATTTTTTTTCTTACAGAAAGTGTAGGTAGCATTATTTTGAATGCAATTTTGCTGTTCTTGGTATTTTTGCACTTCGCCAACGATGCTATCCCAGCTGGATGATCTAGAAAGACCGGAAGTACCTGTAAAAAAAATTAATATAAATGTGGATTAACTTAGTTAATTAAAAAATTTAACAAATATTCCTAGCGAAGTTATATTATGGGTAATCTTATTTTTTTTATTTTTTGAAGTAAGAATTTAATTACCATTTTTGCCACCTTGCCATAAGTTGTCATCGTATTCGGGATCAAAGCTACCGAAAGTTCCCACGCTAAAATTCCCGACAGGAAAATTTTGAGCCATACCAGATTGCTGGTTGGACTTGTTTAAAGGATACATGGGATATTCGTAGGAACTACGAGAGTTATAAGCGGTGGAAGACGTGTTATTCCAGAGAGAATTTTGGTTGGAGGTTGAAAGATCGAGCCATTTAGTGTCGAAAAGTCTGGAAAGAAGAAAAAATAAAATACAAATTATCAAGAGTATAATTAATTACAAAAAGAGAAGGCTCAAATATTCTAATAGTAAGCTGATTCTTAACTCCGATATAGGAAAAAGGAGATTTGTATTTAATGATAAAAATTCAAAAATATTCCATTTCTGAGGAGTTTAGTTAGCCATCGCACCCCCCCCCCCCCTACCCCACACTAACATTAAAAAGAGCACTCGTTGAGATGGTGGTAATTTTATGGGAGAAATATAAAAAAATTGCGAGGAATAACATGAGAAAATGTTTAGAGGAATCATTATTTCGAATTATTTATAATAAATGGGATGTCCGTGCTGAGGTTAAAAAAAAATAAAATGTACTTGTTATCTGTAGCGGAGTTATCAGGATGGATCGTTAATTGTTTCCCGCCAATTGGCGGAATTTCGCTGAAAGGCGCCGTTTGATTGACACGTTTCATACTTAGATCGATATTAGATTTGACATCTTGCCATAGGTGGCTGAGATCATTTCGACCGTTCGAAGATTTCGGAGGAGGGAATAAGGAAAAAGCAGAATAATCTTCTGTTTCAAACATTTTTTAGAAGAAAAAAAGATGTTTTTTTTAAAAAATATAACTCATTTATTTAAATATATAAAGTCTTATAGTATAGGGTTAATAAGAAAAAATGAGCATAATTTAAGAGATAATAGAATGTGTAATATAATTTGAAAAATGGATCGATCCACAAGGGATGGTTCATTTTCTAGTAAATAAGAGTAACCATTTTTTTTTAAAAAAACATAATATATTGATTTAAGTTTATAAATTATAAACAATTAATTTAAATTTTTCTATTGGGCTAGTGAGCACATCGACTATGGGTTGTTTAGTTGTGAGGGCAAGGACAGAAAAGGCATTAAGGGTTCGAGGAATAGCTGGTGATAAAATGGGTAGTCCAGATTGAGGACACTTTATTTTATTGTTTTTACCAGATCATTAATGTTAAAATTCACAATTGTGTTTATGGTTAAATGTATGTATTGTTCTGTAAATTAAAATTCATATAGGTAGAAAAATTTTTTCATTTACTAATAAGTTTAAAATATCGATAAAGTAGGGTCTAATTTTTAGAAAAATGTGTACCAGGTCGTGTCGGTCTTGGGAATTAATTTAAATATATTTAAATCAATATTTGATTTTATTTATAAAAACTAAACGCCATATAAAATATCTTTTATTTTGAGTAATTATAAAAATGAAGTTAGGGCCAGACCGAGCCCGTAAATTTATTTAAAATAATTTCGGGTTCGAGCCGGCGAAATCTTTTTAAAAAATTTCGAGTTAGGTGTAGTATTGTAAAATCAATAGGCATTAATTTTATAAATTGATAATTTATGACCGAACCTAAACTTTTTACGAATACTATCTAAATAAAATTCCAAATATTAAGTAAATTACCATAATTCTAACCCTAAAAAGTAACACTTTGAAATGTTGCAATTTATCAAAAATAAATATAATATAGTATACCATAAAAATTAAATTTTATTAATAAAAAAGGTCTGGGACTACTTGACAAAGCTTACAATTTTAAATATATTATATGTTTTAGGTAATTCTTTTTCCATTATAATTAATCCCCTGCATCGTTCAGATAAAAAAAAATTTTTTTTAAAACCATTTTCTAAATTCTTTTCCTCAGATTTTAAGTGAAATGCTGCTGTCCTTTCCGACATCGCCGAGAAATCATCATCTAATAATATTTAATAATTTTTTTTAAATAATGGCGCGAAAAAAATATAATACCGTTAGATCTGGAAACGCGGTTTTCTGGCAAATCCCACACGGGTGTCAAGCTTCGACTGTTAGAATCTAATATTTAAAATTTTCGAATATATATTCTCAAAAATTGTGATTAATTTTCATTCATTCATTCACATCTATATTAATTCTCCTTACCCCAAAAAAGGGAGACATAAAATGGTAAAATATGGCGCGTACCGGAACTATTAGATGAGCGCCCGTTACCGTTCATCCTATTATTTATGACGTCGGCATAAGTACAATTCGTGGGAGTCAAACTTCGTTCACTTGAATAAAAATCAACAAAATAAAATATTAATTAAATTGCATCACAAAGCCCCTTAAATTATTCATTAATTACAAGACGTTAAATAACGAATAAAATCGCAGAATTTCGAAATGTTAGATATATATATATAATTTAAATATTTGTTTTATTAAAAAATTATACGCAAATTATTATAATTAATAATTTGGAGATATTTTTATTTTGGAAAAGATGATAATTAAAGGGTATCAAAAAGATTATTTTCTTCGAGAAAATGACCAAGAATTTGCAAATTTTAAGCTTACTTTATTAATTTTATTATTTTTTTGTACATTTACTTTTTCATTATTTTTAATATATTATAGGTTATAATATTTATTCAATCTTTACAAAATGTAACGATCTTACACATACAAATAATGAAAGGTCAAAAAAATATAATTTAATATGAATAATGAGTTAATCATATTATGTTAAAAGTATAAACGCGGTTGCCTTGATTACCGAATTGAATCGTTAATAAAAATATCGTTAAAAAATGATCTAACATAATTCTTATATATAACTAAATCATTTTTTTAATATTTTCTACTCTATATACGATGTAAGTAAGCAATGTCATTATAAACTATTCAAGATAAAGAAAAATTAAAGAGATGATAAGATAAATAACCAAATCATTATATTTTATAAAGATTCATTAATATGTATTTTAATAAAGTGAAATTAATATATAAATTTTAAAAAAAACTTTAAAATATGTATAATTTAATCAATATATAATCTGCCGAACCAAATTCCGGACATTTTATTTTTTATTCGAGGTACCAAAACTAGGGAGAGGGGAATTTTAATATAGGAAATGTAAATATATTTCTAAAAAAAATTTACGAAATATCGGTCAGTAAATCGGTGATGGATTCCTTCCTCACCAAATCAACTTTCGCGAGCGGCACTACTTGCTGAGCATTCGTACATGGTCCAATCTTTTTACTCGCTAGAAGTTTCTTAAATTCAAATAAATAAATGTTAATAAAACTGAATATCTGTAAAAGTTAATGAATAGGGGGTAAAATAAACGTCATTAATCTTTTAGTTCTTACAAAAATATTTTAAAAAATCGTCGATTATATTGAAAAATAATAAATAAAAAACTTTATTAAGTAGGATATGAGTATTAGTTGTGGTCGGTACTAAAGCACTATTCAAACTGGAAGAAGAGAAGGCTAAATTTGACGTAGATAGAGGGCGCTTGTTAATAGAATCGTTTCTAAGTCTATTAAATTTATCATCCCTAAAAATTTAATAGCAAGGTATAGAATTTTTTTTTTGAACGATTACAAATATTCATTTCCATATTATAATAGTTAGGGCTATAATTAAGGTTCGGCCAAAGCAAAAAATTTCTATACCCATAAAGCAAATCTGATTGTAATATTTAAAAAATTTTTTGTTAGTCATAGCCGCCTAGTAATAATTGCATCATATTATATTATCATCATTGAATGCACGAAAATATATTTACCCATTTGAAGCGGTGATAATTTCGTTATTATATATATTATTCCCCTGCGATTTCCGCTTTTTCTTCCCGACTTTTTGATTGGTCGATTGATTTAGAGAGTTGTTTTGGTTTGGTGGGCAGATAACACTATTTAAGATTGAATTCGATTTGGACAACACTGGATCCGAAATTTTGGAGGCTTTATAAGAGAAAAAAAAGCAAAAGATTTTACTGTATCATATCTTCAAGTTTTTATTATAATGGTATATGTTGAGTAGAACCCTCCTTAAATATTACCGTTCGAGCGAGGGACTTCTTTGAAAGAAGAAATCTTGGAAGCTTTTCCGCTAGTATTGTCGCTAGTGGTATTGTTATATGCTTTGCCATTGGTAGAAGCATTCTGTCAAATAACATCGGTTTAAACAAATAAGTTTTTTGTATAACTTAATATAAATAAACTATCAATTTAAAATATATATCGGGGGGGGGGAAGAGAAATTTTTTTTTTATTTCATACCTCCGTCTTAGCCTTTGGGCCCTTGTTTTCCTTGAGGCTCTTAACGGTGGGTTTACATTTACCGGGATTGGTTTGAAGTAGCTTCGATTTGACAGATGTCCGATCATCGTCAACGAGTGTTTGTCGACGAGGTTGTTTAAAAACTTTAGGGTCACATTTTTTGCTACTATAAAAAAATAACAATATTATTTGATGTTTCGTATAAAAAAAATGTCACCTTATGTTGACCGTCTCGATTTTCTTGCATTGAGTACTATTGGGAGATCTAATTGAGTGAGACAAGAGAAGGAAAAATTTGCACAACCTATCAGCTTCGACCCACGTGACTACTACCACGAAAATGAGTAAAATCGCCATGGACACCCACTATTTAAAAATTTTTTTTTTATGAAATCCAACTATCAATTTCAACTAAAAAATAAATATCATTACCGTACAATAATAAAGTACGACTTCCCACTGGGGCCTGACTATATTATGAGAACATGCCTTGGCTAAAGTAACGGCAATCGAACCGGTCAAAGTGAACATTAGATTAGCTTCATTTAAGGTCGAGTCTGGCGAATTCTGTGAATCGTCGGTCGTCAAAATGAGGAATGATGTGGAGATTTTGGACACGGAAAAGTCTGGGGTGAAACTAAAATACGGTAAAAAAAATATTGAACTCGCTTGAATTATAAATATATTACCTGACATCTATTCGTTTGGACTGATTCGGTTGTACGACCAGACCCTCCATAGCTTGACAATCGTGAACCCGAAAACCGAAGCGATTACAATCGCTAGAAACCGATACATGGTTAGGTTTTACGAATATCGATAACTGTTTAAACAGAAGGAATTCTTTAAAACGCGACATGAACCCTAAAATATTAGTGGTAAAATATTCGCGAGCAGGCGTTGGCGAATCGCGTAAAACGAAGAAAGATTTGAGAGTAACTGGGAGTTGGCCAGTATTCTTGAGGAGAAAACCACGTTTCAAGGATCCTATGGATCTTAAAGGAGCTTAATTAAGAGTATTAATATATCAAAATTTAAATCCAATTAGTGATTAAAGGGAGAAAAAATATTGCAAGAAATAAATATAAAAATCAGAGTTTATACTATCTTTGAGGCAATATTTGAGGTGTTTTTCGGTAAACGCGAAAGTTATGGGTATATTGGGAGATTGAAATTGCATAGTTGACAAATCCAATAGTTTAAGTTGACCCAGTCCTCCTCTCCCCACTATTTTTATGGTCTCCAATATAGAAAGATTGTTCCTTTTTTTTAAAAAAAATAAAATAAGCATATATATAGAACAATCTCACAAAAACGCTGTATATCTTTATCAATAAATCTATAAAGTCGCACCTAACGATAAGATGGGTGCTGTAAGCCCGGTTAAACTGAGGCGAAAATTTGACGAAGAATTTGGCTTCCTTAAACGGTTGAAGAACGTAGGCCAGCGTGGATGGATTAACTTGTAGGGTATGATTGAATCGGTTCAAATACAGGGAATTCTCGTTTAATTGAAGAGAATTCTCGTCGGGTACTTTGGAGAATTTTGAATCCTTCCCAGAGAACTGGCTTTCGGAAGTAGAAGCCATATTGATTTCAGCCAACTCGAAAGGGTTATCAGCGATGACCTCTGGAATAAAGGTAGATTTGTCCTCTCTTGCAATTCTGGAAGAGTTTTTTTTTAAAATTTTTTTTTTATCATATTAGATTCCTTAGATCATTCACATAATAAATTCCGATATATTGAATGCTTACCACTAGAGTGTTTTAAATTTTTTAGAATCTTAAAATTCAACCGCTTAACCGCCTTCTCTCTCGCCCCCCTTACCATTAAAACAAAAATAAATATTATATCGAAACTCATTTGTAGACACTTTTTCGGCATTAACAACGCTCAATATGGCGTGGCCTTGGTCCTTGATGACGGAGATGGGTACAATGTGTAAGAGCAAGGGACTATAACTAGGGTTCCTGATTATAATCACGGCAGCCTATAAACAACGTCAAGTAATTAATAATTTAAACATTTGAAATGGAGATAATAATCCTTTTTTTTGAAAAGTGTACTTATATTATTTTTGAGAACTTAAAAAGAAATGGATAAAATGTCAACAATATTTTAATAATCTTCAAAATATCTTTATTCTAAGATTTGGGTGTACGTACACTATAATTTCCGATCTTGGTGAGAGGAAAATCCAATCGATCCGAGCTTATCAGCTTCGGCCATTTCAGGTCGCCATTTTTTACATAAAATCGTAGAGCGGATTGGGTCTTGGTAGTATCCACTATGAAAGCGGAATCAAGTCTAACGGCGAAAAATAAAACAAATTATTTTATTTTCTATACCAAAGAGCTCACTACTTAAAGAGGAAAGAAAAAATTGTCATAAAGATATTAGAAGATTCAAATTTTAACCTTTCAGAAATAATCAATATTCACAAGGTTATAGAGAAAGATCATGCCCAAAAGGTTTTCAGATAAATCACGTGATTTATAAGTTAACCCTTGAAAATATTTAGCAACATGGATCCATTTTAGAACAACCTTGACCGGTCTACGAAAATGGTTTATTTGTCACGGGTGTCACTTTTCAATAATTGATTAGAGAGCCTAATTGACAGTGTCTTCAAAAAAGGTTCATATATTATGTATGGCACAAAATCTTGTGTGACTTTTCGTTTTAACCGATTTTTTGAGACCTAGTCACAATAATAAATAAAAAAAATATATAAATAACTTATTCAGTTTGTTTTTGACTAAATTTTTCCATTTAGCGAATCTTTGCTTGAACACGGGAAGATCGGTATCGATGCAGTTGGCAGGATAGTTAAAGGTTTCTAGCCAATCATTATATTCTATAATAATATTAATGAAAAAAATGAATAAATGACGATTTTCCATAATTTCTGCTTAAAACACTCCTGATCTTCGAGAAATATTGAAATAAGAAATTAAAGAAGGAAGAGAAGATAAATAGGTGATAAATAATTTTAATAAGAAAACCTTTATCTTTGACGTTCAGACCTGTATAGCAATAAACCTCGTTACGCAAGCAGGCCTGCGTGGGGTCGAACGTAATTTGACCGACCTTTCAAAAAATTTTTTTTTAAAAAAAATTAATTATCGTATAACGATTTCATCTGAGTTTGATTAAACCGGGTATGCCAGGCGGTCTTATTTTTGTCTAGAAAAGCTTAAAAATTGAAGTAAATTTTTAATTGATAAATATTACAGTTAACCCACTCAAAGCTGAAATATCAAGGATTTGTGGGATTATTTTGGGTAATATTTAAACAAAAATCATTTTTTTTAAAAAAATATGGAGAAATTCCCAATTAAAATATTCTTGTCGCGAAATTTTAATAAAAAACTTACGAAATTATTTCGGGATTTTGGTAAAATTTTCAGTCTCTTGTTATTGAGGGATCTCAAAAAAGTGAAAGCGTTGAAGGGTTCTCTCAGATATGGAGCTATCCTAGTGACGGTCACCTCTTCGTCGAAAAAGTTGTCAAGGTGAAGATTGATTTTTGAGATTTTTGACTTTTTTTAAAAAAAAAAAATTTGATAATAAAATTATACATACAAACTTAGTGCTGGAAATAACTAATTCCTTTAAAAAAACATGCTACGTCAACTATTATCGATAAGTGAGTATAGATTCTATTATTTCATTTATATACTTTTTTTTTTAAAAGTCAGGCTATACTTTTTTTTAAAAAAAGTCAGGCTATTTTTAAATAATGCCAAATGATGAAACATTCTAACTAGGGATGTACCGATATTTTATATCGGATCGGATCGGGCCGATATTTCGCTCATTTTAAAATATCGGTTATAGGCAAATATTATAAAATTTTCCGATCCGATATCAAATGGCGCTTTTAACAAAATTTAAAAAAAGTTATATCTAAAAAACCATTTATTTTTATAAATTAAATCGAAATACATTTTTATGTTTAATTTTTTTAATAGAAATAATTAGTTAATAAACATTCTGCAATATAGTTATTTTTTTTGGCATTCTGTTTAAAAAAGTGTTCATTAATCTCTTCAGTATCTGTTTTTAGTGATGCTAGTGATATTAACAGTCCCCATCACCGCCGACATATCTCTGATATAAAAAGAAATCTTCGATATATTAATTTTAAATATTAATTTCAAATTTCATAATATATTCTTTTATTACTAATTATGTAAATAGATTAATGTTATTACTTATTATATAAATAATAGCAATTGAATTGAATATAAACTATAACTGACCATTATAATATATTTAAATGACATATGTTATGGTATAGTAAAATTATAGATGTTGTACTAATAAAAAGTATATTAAAAATTAAAACCGGTATCTTTGCAGAATACAAAATTAGATATGATATCGGATCGGTTATCGGCCGATATCAATATATCTGAAATATCGGATCGGATCGGCCTCCAGAAAGTGGTATCGGTACACCCCTAACTCTAACTGAGTGGTTATGAGAATTACAAGATACAATATAAAATTGACTTGTATCTTAGATTCTAATATAAACGATACTGCCAACACTGAATTTCAAATCTTTAAAACTCTAATGTTGCTTTAGCAAATATTATCCTGATAAACTTATTTCTTTAATGAAAAAAATATCGATTCAATAATTGTTTACAGGGTAAGAAATAGTATCCCCAAAATCTAGCATGTTTGTCCCGTAACCTTCGCCCAAATTGTGAAGGCTCTCATTTAAGTCTGCATCATCATCTTCTCCTGTCGCGGATATTCCTAGGTGACCTTGGTGCAAAGTGATTCCAACTTCCAATCCCAAGTCCAGCATTTCTTTGGCAAAATTCTAAATTAATGATTATAAATAGTTCCTCATCTTGGTGAAAGAGTTGGGAAAGAGGGGAGTAAAAATGAAATTAGACCCTTATTTTTAAAATAAAAACTATAAAGAACAAATTCTAAATTTATGAAAAAGATAAGCAGATAACACTCTAATGGAGGGGGGGGGGGTTATGGTTTTGTTATTATTTTTTGCTAATGGTCCGAACCCATAACAAAATAGTAAGTAATGATGAAAACAAAAACAATCATTCAAAAAAAATTACATCTCCTTCCTTTGTTATGGAATGTTCTATTTTCGGGATTTTGAGGCAATTCAATTTTAGGAATGTGGTTTCGGTGAATAGACCATCTACGAATGGAGTGGTAGGAAGCGAAAGGCTAGCTAACATATGAAGGGCGTAATAAGGCTTTAGCGGGATCTATCATTTTCATAAGATTGGCAAAAAAGAAGTGAAAAATGAAATGATACACAGGTAATTTAAACAATTTTTTCAAAAAGCACCACAATTTTTTTGATATTTTAATATATAATTTTTTAAGAAAGTAATATTTTAAAATAATTCATTCTTATGGTTGTTGGTCTAAGCCGGTTTGGTCGATTTGCAGACACCTGCTGTAAATGATTAATAGTTGTTTAGTGGGTATCGAAATTCTATCAATCATAATAGCTTTACATATGTTACCTCGAATTCTTTAAATTTTGCTACATTTCCATCATCGAAAATCAATTCCATAAAATTTAGCGATTTTTTGTCATTTTTAATTATTTGTTCTTCGAAAATTGCTGCAACATTTTGTCCCGAACATGTTTCGTGATCATCATTAGAATGATAAAAACTATCCGCAAGGCCCGGGAAGATAGAATCAAGGTCCTGAGTGACGGGAAACAGTAATTTGTTTCTATGGGAAGGAGTTATTGACATGTTAGCCACGCGAGAGGTGCCAATGAGAATTGGTAGAGGGCTGTAGCCATCTAATAGTTATAAAATGTATTGTATATAAATTCGTTCGTATATTAAAATGTCCTTAGCATTTTCAAATTATGAGAAAGCAAATAAAGATTTATCAATTTTAAGTTATTAATAAAATGCTATCCCCCCCCCCCCCCTCTAACCCTCAGAATGTAAAATATGAGAAATAGAATTAGGTATTTCGCGAATGAATCATATATTTTTTTTACTATGAATAATCTCATCGATATTTAAAGTGTTTTCCACCCACACTGGCAATATTTTTAGCGAATTCATCAACCAAACCATTCTCTCGTTCGGTATTTTGACGTCGTTCCTTGGGATTTTGGAAAGGAAAATTCTATTGGAAACGTTAACCTGAGTGTCGTGGTTGTTGAACAAGCTAATCAGCCTAAAGGTGTATGTGGTATTCTTTAGGGATTGCTTCGTCACTAACGACGGGAAAGACGATGCTCCCATAGCAAAAACGTCAAAATTAAGGGAAGCTTTATTATTCGGGGAAACACCGCTAGAATGCCGTCCGTAGGTAGATATCTATTCAAAAAATGGTATGTTCACAGATAATTAGAGTATAAATTTAACAAATATGGCGGATAACAATTTCCTTAAAAAAATGCTATAATTTAAACCCTCATTCCCCCGTGGTAAACATTTATTGGAATCCTGAATTTAGAGGCATTGGTCATGATGCAGATAGATGTGCTGAGGTGCCGCAATTCGCTGTTTTGGGGATTAGCGTTGGCAAAATCGTTCCCTATTGAGTAAGGAAGTACTATCTTCTTGCCGTTTTCCTCGTTAATTACCCTCATCTTGGGGGTTAATTTGGCTGGGCGATATTCGATGAAGAGCCTATCGTACTTAGATTTGGGCTGGATCACGAGGGGATAGCTATCAGGGAAACGCGAGATCTTTGATACCTTTAAAAAAAAATGGGATTCAAAATTAAATTTCTTTTTTAGTTTTCTCTTTTCCAGGGCTAGGAAAAAAAATCAATTCTCTTTCTTAAGACAATGGTATTATTTTTTTTACCCTAAAGGGGTTAAGATCATCTTTGTCTTCACGTGGGGATTCTCCGTTTTCAAGATAAACGTCCGATATAGCCAGCGGGAAATCGAACGTGTTCGTCAAAGACAAGTAACTCTTAACGGCATTAGCGTTGGGTGCTGCCACGTTAATCTTGGTAGTGTTATGATCGTATATAAGAGCACTTGTTTTATTTATTTTTAAAAAAAATTGTATATTTATAACTCGCCGCCTGATAATTATCTATATCCAATTTTTGTCATTTTATAATTATACCATTCTATTTACATTAAAAAATCCTAAATATTTATAAAATAATTCAAATTAAATGGGATCCAAGGTTAACTATCCTATCGAAAACAACAAAATTACAAAAACTGGAGTTAGACTATTTTAATTCTCAGATGACGAACAGAAATTTTTTTTAAAAAATATGAGCTGTGGGAAAGAAAATGAATGATTTACCCTCTCAAAACGTTGGCTCTGTAAGGAATGATCAGTTTATGCGTAGAAAGATTGGACAGTATCTGAATCCTGCCTTGTTTGTGCTTAGGATTAGAGGCTTTGAAAGCTAGAAAATAATATAATATTTCAATTATTTTTTTTTAATTATATTTCAAACCAAGATAGTGTAAGGTGGCTATAATGGTGGGTTTCTTGGAATTCGGAGTGACTTTGACAGGTGACACGAAATCTATGTTTAAGGCTTCGTTCGGTTGAAGAAGAGATATGTTCTAAAAATTATTTTAATGTTAACAATGAAAAAAATATAAAAAGAGAAAGAGAATTAAATAAAAAGGATAATTTTTAAAATAAAAAAATAGTGATAAATAAAATATTAGACGGAAAAAACATAATTATAATAACCGTTATATGTATTGGGCTATTTCCCATATTGTAAACTTTCAGTTTGAGAGTTTTAGGAAGATCATAAGTGCTGAGAGTGCCGAAATCCAACAGGTCTATAGGTGAATATAGGCCAGGCGCTACAATTGTTTATTTTTTGAAATTATAATTTATTTATACTCCATTCTTTATACTTTTATTAATCCCCTTACCCCCTCACCACATCCCCAAAAATGAGTGAAAAAAAAACTTTGCGTAATCTCTATATCGAAATACAGTACTAGCAGTTCCTCATTCGCGTTAAGCGGCATGAGGTTGAGCCCTTCTATCCTGTTATCCCCAAAGAGGGATCGATCAGCCCCATTGTTAACATTCTCTGCGTTATTATACGTATTTTGCGGGTTTACAGAGCTCCCGAAATTGGCATGATGTTCGATCTTGATGGCGAGATAGCAAGAGATATTGGATGGCTGGGAAGTGGCCAGGTAATTGGAAATAACCAGAGGTTTTGTTTGGAAAGGGGAGAGTTTCTAAAAACGTATATACAAAATTAAACGTGCTATTAACAATTTAAGTATAATAGGAAATTAGCATAAATATGCTCCTGGGTTTTAATCAGCTCACAAACCTCTTCTTAGTTAACTTTTTTTTAAAAAAATGGTCACTAATTTTATTGTAAATGTGTCAGACTTTGCGATAGAAGAATATAAAATCTATATTAAAGAAACTACTGCTTGACTAAGAAGGAGTTAAGAAAAAAAATGTCTCAAGTGACAAATTACAGAGTATCCCTTAAAAATGACGATTGAATAGATAATACTTAGAAACACTAGATGGGGCGATTTAAAATTTATAAATTCAATCATTTATAAAAAAAACTAAATAAAAAATACCCATATTTTTTCAGTGTTATGACCAAAACCGTAAGGCAATTCCAAGTGGAAATCTCCGTTGCTTGTCCATATTTCTACCGCCTGGTTTTTAATTAATTTATAAAATTTTAAATAAATGAAATAAACATAGAACAAACCAACGAAGAGAAAATAAAAGAGAATCTTTAAGGATAAAAAAAAATCAATCAAAAAGGCAAAGTATAAAAAGAGAAAATAGTAAAAATAAAAATTCGTAGAATTATATTTCTTCTTCTTCATAATACCTGTATAGCGTGAGTGTTAGGATTAAAGATGCTAATTATTGGCGCGAAAATGGCTTCCGACGGAATTTTTCCCTCGTAAAACGTGCGAATTCTGTAGGCGTTCGGGACACCGGAACCAAAAACCTTTCAAATAATTATTTTCGTTTTAATAATTTATAATTTGTTCATTTTAAATCATAAGTTTTTTTTAAAAAAAAATCTTCAAAATTTTTTGAAATTTGCATTTTATGCTCGAAAATTACAAGATTTTTTTCGTTAAATTGTGTCCAAAATCTATTTTTAAAGTTTGCGAAAGCTTCGAAACTTTCCGAAATTTTTAAATTTACTGAAATCGTATGTTAAATGTTTAGAAATTTTCTATAATTACATTTAGGACATTGTTTTTATTTTTATGTTAAAAATGCTTTATTTCTTCTTTTTCGATAAAGCTTCGAAAGTTTGCGAATAACTATTTTAAAAAAAAATGTTGGCGATTTTTGGTAATATTCGATATCTCCGTTATTCAAAAAAAAAAGAAATGATAGCTAAATTTTAAGAACTTTTATCGAATTCCGATTTAAATGATTTTTTTTTTTAAAAAAAATAAACTTTAATTATAATGGAATTAAAAGAAAAATTTACTTGGTATTTGAAATTTCCCAGAGAAGTATGTATGGTGAGGCTATTCTCCACCTGTCCTATTTCGCGCGCCAAAAATGTTATCAAAAAACTGGCATTGTACCCCGGTTCTAAAGCCTTAAAAAAAATTAAAGCAAATATTTACTAAAATGTGAGTTTTCGTTTATGGTTTTTAAATATCTGATTTCATAGCGTGCACTTTTCCCGCCATTTTAAAAAGATATTTCCATTTTGCCCAATTACATTTATTAAAATGGTTTAATCGAAGCGGTACATTTTAAATTGCCTCAAATCACGTGCCTCCTCATTTTACTCCAATCATATAACCCTATTTACTCAATCCTACCCCCCCCCCCCCCATGTGCAATAAATTTATTGCATCATAATATTCCATATAGCTTCCAATTCTCTCGCTTACCTTTACTCGATAAATCGAAAGGGAAATATTTTTGGCGCTTGCCAAAAAAAAATAAAAATTCTTTAGTAACTATTCATTGTATATACAAAAAAAATGAGTAAACATTTAAATATTTATTAACGGAAAATAAAATATATTCGTTTAAAAGTCAATAAACGGAAATAACAAGAAATCAAAGTAACTATTCGGCTCACGTAACAAAATTAAAAAATATAATAATAGTTATACCGGGAAAAGAAGGGGGAGGGGGATGAGATTAAGCAAAAGATAACTCATAACAAGATAACAATAAAATGAAATCCGGTGCAAAAAAAAGAAATATACGAGATAAATAGGAACAAAGGAAAAGGGATTGGGAGGGGAGGAGGTTTGAAGATTCTAGAAATCTTTCCAAAAATAATAGCATGCGCATGATAAAAAAAAGGACCACAGTAGTCAAATCGACCTGGTCTAGGACCGTCAACGTTTTTCTGGTCCTTATCGAGTGAGGGGAGGTGAAAAAATACGTTTAAATTAATCGAATAATTGGTGTAAAGCACTAATTAACAATCGGGCGCTACTCTTATATTTTAAGGCATGAGTCAGAAAAAAAATAAATAATACTATATACTGATTAATCGAAACCAGCTTATATAGCAAATCGAATGAAAAAAAAGTTGCGCATGAGTAGTAGAATGAGAATGCTGGGATGGTGTCATATATATACTCCCATTAACTTATCTATTTTAGCGGAATCGGTGTGAATGATATTATATTATTTTTCGAATAAACATGAAAATTAAGGGATAGAAATAAAAACATAAAAACAAATGTACAAAAGTAAAGAGAATAAAAAAAAATTAAACTTTTTCTCCCAAAAATGCCGGATGGAAATGGATGGAATTGCCGGAAATGGAATTGAGTTGTAGAATCTTGTTGGGGCTTTCGTTCGTTATGATGACTTGGGCCGTATAGGGCATTCCGATAGGCCTAAATAATATAGATATATATTTTTTTAGAACATATATATATTATTATAATATCTTGTTTTGGAACAGGATTGGTCAATCGTAAAAATATGTCAATTTATCTTCTCAAGTTTATAGAAAGCGGATTATCAGCAATATGGAACAATTTATAGAAATTGGAAATAGACCGGTTCGAAAAAAATATATTTGGAATCCGGAAAACAAATTCAGAGTTCCTATATCAGTCAAAAACTAATTATACCGTATATTATAGACATTCGAACTCATAAATACAAAAGGGAGTTGTTTTTGAGTGAAATGTGTGGCACCAAGCCGTAGATTTTCGTTCCCAGGGACCGATTTTATTTCTGAGGCTAACACAGACATTTCCGTGCAAAAGGGGTTATATGGTCAGAGTATTATTTGGACTAGGTGCCCACCGTTAATATATATAAATCCGAGAGTTATAATGTGGTTAAATAAAAGTTTGAAGGATATTTTTTTTAATAAGAAAGATTTATATCGATTTATATCATATTTTACGTAAGACTTTGTCCAAAATATATATATAAAAAATTAAATTCACAAACTTTAGAAACTTTAATGAAAATAATTTAAAAACATGCCCAAAAACTTCTAGTTTAAAAAAAATTTAATTTACAATTTAGTTAAAATTTTAAAATTTGCTTAATTTTTTGATAATATAAACACTTGCTTAGTTACATGGGGCTAATGACAGACTGGCGATGGCGATTTTATTATATGTGTACATCAATGAAAACAGCTGGGGACGCTATTTTGGTAACCCATATCATTATTAAAAATTTTAAACGAAAGGCCAAATTATTCCTATGCTTGACGCAAACTTTATTAAAGAATTGCCTGATCATCGAGATAATATGGAAGCAAGTAATCAGTAGTTTTTAACATGAGAATAATTACTATATGGGTTACCAAAATGGCAGGTCCAGCTGATTTGCATACCACGACGCTTTCAAATGCATTAATATGAAAGCATCGTCAGTCTAGATATTATTATATGTCATTGGGTTGGGGGGGGGGTGCATACATAGTTCATTCCCATTTGTAAATAGTTACATTTCATTCAAATTTCTTTAAGCTCCCCTCCCCCTTAATAACACATTTTGAAGGCGAAATATTATGAAGATATTTTTTTGTGATGTGGGCAATAAAAGCAAAGGTCACCACGTCAAGGCTATTATAAAGTCTCATTAAATTTTCATAAATTTCAAGCAAGGTCTTGGTCAACAAATTGCTTATATATCGAATGACCTCATATTATTTATACCCTTTGCTAAAATTTTCGTACAAAAAAAACTATTACATCGATAAAAAAAAAACGTGGCAACTAGCCTTGCCAAGAAAAATATTATTTTTTTTAAACAAAAAAATCATCCATAAAATATTTTTTTTCGAAAATCGTCGACGGCCAAATAATATGTCACGTTTTGAAATTAAAATTGTTAACTAATAATTTTATCAACTCAAAGTTATAATAATAATTTTAAAAAAGTTTGGAATACAGATCGGTCCGCGCGGTTGACAAACTTGCGCTATATCTTTTCTCGGTCCGGCGGAAATTCGCAAAATAAATCGGACGGGGTGAATCATCCGAACCGGATAACCGATTTTATTTTAAAATCTTCGGTATCTGGACAGCTGTTCGAGCTAAAAAAATTAAATCATCCGTATTATTTAATAAAAAAAATATTCTTTTAAATTTTAACCGGATATAAATTATGCATCATTTTTTTTGATAATTAATACGTCTTGAATTTTCATTTTAAAAAATTTTAATGGTTTAGAGATTCCTGGATCATAATAAAACAGAACAAGGGAAAAACGCGAAGCCAAACTTCCATATTTTACGAGCTGAATCTGAGGAGGGAGGAGGGTGGTAAAAAAAACTCCCTAGTCAACATTTGGGTATCGCCCCATGTCTATCATGGTATTCCCATTAAGCTGTCTCGAGCTCAAATGTGATCACATTTCCTTTATCTAAGGATTAAAATGGAAGCCAATTCGTAGGCTAATAATGGATTTCATTTTTTTTTTAAATTTTCGGGGCTAAACGTAAATTCAAAAAGTGTAGCTCTTTTTACTGCATTTCTTAAGGCCATGTACAAAATCCTTTTTTATTTTTAAAAAGATTCGAAAAGTTTTAAAAAAATTTTTAATGAATTATATTTTGGACAGAATTTTACTTTTTATATTTAATAAAAAAACAATATATCCAATACATTATAAAATTAATCATAAAAATCAAGATATGATTTTTTTTTTGGCGATGGAATAAGGTAAGGTTAAAAGTGATTCCTTCTTGCTAAAATAATAAGGTTATATTTTTATTTTATCTTTTTTAAAAAAACTTTAACTTTTACAAAGTTGCAAAATCACGAGTATTAAACAATTTAGTTTTCTGTCAAATTCCAAAGCAAATAATAATTCAGGGAAAAGAAGAAAAAAATAATAATACTTCAATAGTAATCCTGTAGGGTGTGCACAGATTCGACAGTACTAGGATACCTTATTTTGGATTTATATCGAGTGTTAGGTACCATTGTTTCTCTCTCTCTCATTATTTAAGGTTGATTAGAAAGTGGCAAACATACTTAAATACAATCAGAAATAAATGTAAATGAGAGAATCATAAAAACCAAAATAAAATTATCGAAATCGCGAGCCCTTAAGCCACTCTATAAATCGGAGACCGGTATACCGGGCAAACCCAATAAAACTAAATCCATGGCCGGGCTAAAAAAAATTAAAAGTCCAGACCAAATCAGCTGTTTTGAGAATTAGCGAAATAAGAATTTAGGGCCGACAAATTATCGAAGTCGATTCAAAATTATAGCAAATTTTGGACGTTAGGAAAACAGTTTTAAGGATAAATGTTAAAAAAAAAACAATAGGGGGAAGTGCAATGGAATAAATATTTTCTTATAAATATAATGATGTAAATTTTTTTAAAAAAAATAATAATTGTCCATTCAGTTGAATTTCAATAAACAAGTCTATTATGATCCACCAAAAATTAATACGAGAAAATAATTAGAGGTATTTATTTTGTTTTTCTATGGCTAGATATTATGATATTAAGAAGATAAAAAGGTAATAACACAAATAACAAAATATACACGCAATCTTTAAAAGTGGGTTGTATCTTTCAAAAAAGAATAGAATAACAACAATTTTCTTATAAATTCCTTTTTCATTTAATATATAAAAAATCTCGCTTGGGACTATACATGCGTTGATCGTTTTGCCAGATCTTTTTCTGCCATCTCCATCTCAAAAGCGGAGAATACAAAAACAAATAAATATTGCCACCTTAATAATATTTTATTCGCTCCGGTAGTCTCAGACACCTGTGGATCATTCGGACCCCAAGCCTTAAAATTATTCAAAACAATAGGCAAAGGTTACGATTAATCACACGTGATCCGAAAGAAGGTTTCTACCTCCGCCAAAGGATTTCAATCAAAATCTGCCGTTCAAACTGTATATCCATTCATGGGTCATTAAGCCCCGTGGACCACACCTAATTAGATATCCCTCTTTTTTTTTTTAAATTTTTTCTTTCCCTTCTTTTAATTATATGTTTTTATATAGATTTCTTTGTTTTTAATATATTTTTTTAATTCAATAGTGTATATAAATGTTCATGTTTTTTAATTTTTTTTACCGAATAAAATTCTCATATTTTTATTATGAATTGGTTTTTAAAATAAAATTTATTTCAAAAAATAATATAAATCTTTCAGTTATAATGGTCAGTAAATATCTATATTATTATTTTTTTTTAAATTTGTTAGAAGTGCAATCATTATAAATTGTTTATTAAATGACCCATCAATTAAAGAATACTAATTTTTATTTTTCCCTCCAATTATACTTTATTTCATTTTTTTTTAAATATTACATTATATAATTCATATAATCTTCAAGTGTGTTTTTTTTGTGTGTATGGTGAAAAGAAAATTTATGAATTGGTGAATAAAGCTATATATCAACAAATCGATTTAAAAATTTCTTGGTAAGATATAATATTTCAAATCGATCTAAAAAATTTTTAAAAAAAACATAAAATTTGTAGAAGTAGAAAAATAAAAAAAATGAAATAAACTTTTCCTAAGGTTTAAAACCTGTTCAAAACAACCACGATCACTAAACTTTATTGCATCATTATTTTTTTGTTAAAATTTTTATGCTGAGTATAACATAGAAATACGAGTGTATTTTTTTTAAAATATATAGTTATATAATAAAAAAAACTAATTATTATAATAATAATAAAGTAATCTTATAATGAAAGCAAAACCTAAAGTGGGGGGGGGCGAATTGCGGTTTAGAACCCTATAAATCGGCCTGAGTAAGATTCGGGCTTAAAAAAAATCTTTTTAAATATATTTTGGACAGAGTGTAGGCTTAAATCTTTTAAATAAAAATGGTAAAAATAAATAGAGAAAATGATGGTTTTTTTTTCACTTATTTTTTCGTGATCAAGAATGATAATTAAAATTTATCCAAGATAAGGACAAAGCAATAAGTGGTTGATTTTTTAAAAATATTTTGGGTTAAACTTACAGGATTAAAAAAATAAATTCGCAGAATTCTTTCCTCTCTCGAATTTTATTGTCTTATTCCAACGGTTCTAGGGTAGACAGAGTTATGGGTAGTTATAAACTGCGCGTGTTCATCCGTTTTTTAAAATGCCTAAACTATCTAGGGCCTTAACTCCTATTAACTGAGGATTGACTCCCATATAACCCCAAGTGGGATTCTAGTAAATCCTTAATCTATGATTATGTTTATGAGTCTTTATTCCCCGCAAATTCAAATCCCCTTATACTACCCATAAAATTCTTTTAAAATAATTAAATAATAAAACATTTAAATAAGGTTCTTTTTTGGGAACACAATAAGAATTCAATTTGAATCGTTAAATTAAGTTAATCAAAAAAAATAAAATATATGTGTTTCCAAATAGTATTTTAACTATTTATTAGGGTCAGGTTCAATTTTGTAAAAAAAATTTAAATCTGGTTGAGAACTTTTGTTCCAAATTATATAAAAATGCTATAGGCTAATTAGAAAAGGGATTCAAAAACCCAGGGTTTTAAATAAAAATGTAGTATTTATATTTCTATATCTCTGATTTTAAAATAATATTTTAAATTATTCCAATAAGATTTTTTTAAAAATAATGTATAAAGTAGATTCAAAATTATCTAAAATATATTTCTTTTTTATCAGACTTGGTCCTAAATTCAATCATAATTTTTTCAGGGGTGGAACAAATTTTTCTAAATTTAAATTAATCAAGCATTTAAAAAATAATTGATAGATGGATCTTTTGTACAATCATTTAATTTTCATATTTCCATTTTTTCCCATTTAAATTGATTTATAAAATAGAGTCAATAACTAATTTAAAAAAGCAGGATAAGCCTTGAATGAAATTTTTTTTAAAAGCCAGGCATAGTCAAAAAAATATAAATAAAAGTAACTTATGTCTAATGTGAAAATTGGTATCTCATTGTAAGTATTGAATATTTATTGTAAATATACTAGTATCATAATTATAGATGATATATAACCTTTCTGAAAATTCTAAGATAATGGGATCAAATCGGATTGGTATCGCATAGGATTGTGAGGAAGATAATGTGTCATAGATTTCATTATATTCAAATATCTCCCTATTTAAAAGCATAATAATTTATATTTTTTCTATCTTTCCATCAATAATTTTATCCTCTTTCCGTATATTTCTTTTTTATATAAGATTAACCATTAAATAACATCAAAATTGCCAAAAGTAGCCATACTCAAGACTTTAATTAATTAGTTAATAAGACATTCATTTACATATTTTTTGAATATGACAAAAGTCAGTCTAAATATTATTTGCTTAAATAATCTAATAAAAATTCAATACTATTGATTAATAGCCTAATACAAAATAATTTAAAAATATTGACTTAATAATGAAATATATTTTTATAAATAAATGTATAAATCTATTTTTTATATATTTGCTTGAGAAAAATTAATATAAATGATAATTTATATGCATTTGTATAAATTTACATAATGTCTGGAATATCCTTTGAAATTGCAGGCTTTCATTGAAAATAATAATATACAATGTAAAAAATGTAAATTAAGTAATATTTACATTAGAAAACATGGGTTTATTGGCATCAATGATCTTAATTTCATCTCCAGTTTGAATAAAGGCTATTAGTTAATTTAATAAATGGAATTATAAAAGATATAACATATAATAGTATTTTAATTACTTTCTTGGTTTCCATAGATAATACATACTAGATTAAACAAGACAAGTATACAATTAATAAAGTTCATGGGTAATGAAATTTTTTTTATGAACGAATGAAAACTGAAACGTATTGAGGTAAAATTTTGGACCAAATTTATAAAGAGGTTAAAATAATAAGGAATAAGATTTTTAAACATGCTGGTTAGTAATCAAATATATTTTTTGATATAATTTTTAGTATAATTTTTATTTAATAAACCCAATTGGTTTTGTTATTTATTTATAATTAAGTATTATTAAAAGTGGAATTATTTTTTAATTAAAAAAATATTGTTAAAACCGATTATCATATAAACAATCATCCTTGAGGGCCAAAATATATATACTCCATTGTTTTATTATTTTTAGTTTATTTAATCTTATATAATAACAAAATTTCTTAAATTATATCAATATGATATAATTTTATATTGTTCATTTCAATATCAATAGAGAAAAATGATTTTATATTATATTAGTAACTAGCTTAGAAGTCCAGTTTTACGGGGAAATTTTAATAAAAGTTATGATATTAGTTGAGGTAGGTAGATCTATACCGTCCGATTAGGATTTTTATAAAAGTCAGCTTAACTAAACTCGGATAGTACAAGTTGTATTATATTTTTACTGTTAAATCCCCCAAAATTGTGTTTTAGATCGATCATACTTCATAAAATTATGAGACAACATAAATTTAGATATTAATTATTTCTTTAGGTTTCAATTTTGATATTCAGTTTTTCTAAGTTTCATTCTAAAATTATTTAGAAATAATTTTTAAGATATAAGTCTAAGTCTTTATGTGCAAAATAAGGTGAGAGAATGTGTATTTTATCAAGATAAGGTGAAAAAAAAGAAATAAATGTTAAAACCAAGCTTCTTAGTCCATTCTTTTAAAAGGATCTAGTCACATTTTCAAAAAAAATTATGATCCAGGTCTTAAATTTTTTGAAAAAAATAAATAATATATTTTCTTCTAATATTTTATTGCTTATTTTAGAATATCCTAGTACCCGATGTAAAATAAATCAATGTAAAATATAAATTATTAGATGAGTTCACGTTTTTTGCTAAAAAAAATTCTAAAAAAAACTTCAATATGCTTACCATTTTAATTTGGAGAGGGATCAAGTTGGTTTCCCAAATAAGTAATAAGTCACTCTTCTAACAGTTAATTCTCTGCCAGATTATTATGGGATCAATTGAGTTTATATCTTAGGTGAATTATTACAGCAAATAATATCGATGTCCTCGTAAAGCATAAGTCTTAAGTATACATTTATGTGGTAAAGTAAAGGAATTATTTTAAAAATGTTTAAGAGTCTACAAGGGTACAAATGGCGCTAAACTAGTAAAATAGCAATTTGTCAATTTGGTCTGTCATAACCTGGGTTAAATAAAATTGGTCCGTTTTATCATCTCATTCTAAATGTTAAATAACGTTGCTAAGAACTTCATAACCTATGCATATTCTTTATAAATAAACATTCCACTTGTCCATCTAAAAACTGGAAATTCAATTAAATCGCAGACTTCTAGTTTATTTCTCAGTAGACAACTTTCTAGATCTCCCCAACTTAACTAATATGTAACTATCATGGTTGCATGTTCTGTTAGTTAACCGGCCAAACATATAGCAAATGTTATTTATTTAGCCTCTTCTGCATCTATCGTTGCAATGCAATAAGATTTGATTATGACAAGCCCAGGGTTGTTCTTTGGTAGATTAAGGTGACAAAGCTGGAAATCAGCAGATAAAATATAATCAAGATTTACTAATTTACACTTTCTAATATTATTTTTCAACAACTTAACCGTTTTCTCTAAACCTCAGCTGTGAGTGTAAATATTTTCTTGATTAATTTAAACAAAAAAATAAAATTGAAAATAAAATTCTCGTGGATATTTTTTTTTTTATTAAAATAACATTTTAATTTAAAAAAAATTTATTTTTAACAAATGTTATTTTATTTTTATATTTTATACGTGAATAAAAAATATTCTCTATTAATAAATATGTATTAGAAAGTCTTTATCTGTCTATGGATTAGTCATTGGCATTGGCGTACGCAGCGGGGGGGGGGGCAGGGGGACAAAACCCCCCAAAGCCAAAAAATGCAGATGCCGGATATATTTTTCAAAAATACTATTGTATATTAATTTATATTTGTTAATATTTATTCGTATCTCCCATTAAATATATATTTTATTACATTTATTATCACATTCATAAGTTATTTTATCAATTAATTTCGATTTCAAGTTTTCCGGCGTAATATTTACTTATTATTTTCAAATTTTTAGTGGCGTAATATTTATATACCATTTTCAAATTTCTAGTCAAATAATAATTATTTCTGAAACTTCTGGTCCAACAGGGAAAAAGAAATTGCAACCTTGTCCAACGAGATAGAACCTCTTCCATCAAGCACTAACAGCTATTAAGGAGTTAGGCCAATTATTTGCTAATACTGAAATATCACAATGGCCTGAAAAAAATATTTCCTCAGAAGCAAGAAAATTATTGGATTCAATGCTTATTCCAAATTTTATTTCTCATTAGAATGTATTATTTAATTATACAACTATTTTAAGTAATACTTTTCAAAAACATGACATTGATTTGATTAAGAAGATGAGAATAGCGGAGAGCATTTTATCAGAACTCAAGGAAATTTGGCGTTGATGAAGAATTCATATTTTATATTTTATTGTTGAGTCAAAAGCAGAGCTATACGTGTTTAATATTTGTCTCATTCAACTTGCAGCAAGGCAAGCTCATCGTTAAAACATTAATATAGGATCAGTAGAAGAGTATATCTTAGATGCAGATACACCCAAATAAATGTATTTTTAATTCATCATGCACCACTTACATCTGCAAATATTACTTCCACAAAAGCCTTCCCAACCTTTTTCAGATGGTGATAAAAAAAATATTTGTTAGATTTTTATTATGTATATGTTAAAGTATCTTATGATGCCTTACTAGCTGAATAACTATGTTTATAAGATTAACTATGGTTGATATAGTCCCAAAAAATGCTATGGATGCTCTGCATTATTTCAAACACATTTTAGATTAAATTCCCAATGTATTAAAAGGGTTTATAAACTCTTCCCATTAGTAAACTAATGAGAGAACACTCTTTTTTAAGAAGAAAAACAGAGGCTTGCAGAAGTATTATTTGCAGGGCACGGCCCGGATTTTTATAAAAATTTTTTTAGGCCCGGCTCGGCTTTTTTTTTTAAATTTTCAGGCTCGGCCCGGCTTTTTTTAAAATAAAATTTTCAGGCCCGGCCCGGTTTAAAAAAAACAAATTATGTTTATTTTTCATTTTTATAGCTAATAATAACGATTTCTAATATAGGCTGTTTTAAAAAATACAGCCCGGCCTGGGTGTTTTTTTTTAATAATTCAGGCCCGGCTTGGGTTTTTTTTTGAAAAAATTCAGGTCCGGCCGGTGTTTTTTTAAAAAAATTTCGGGCCCGGCCCGGGTATATTTAAAAAAATTAAAATATTGTCCGGCCAGGGGCCGGGCCAGCAAGTCTCTGAAAAACATACCAAGAAGTACAACATGTGAAAGTAGATTAAAAGGTTTGGATCTTTTGAATATTCATAGGCATTTGGCGACAAGCAAGGATGAGATAATTGAAAAATTAGCTCAATCCCAACGAAGATTGGATTTTATATTGTAAATATATAACATACAAAATACAATTCTAAAAAACATTTTGTGCAAAGGCTCAAAAAATTCAAATTTCTATTTTGGGTCATTTAAGTGATTCTTTACATATAATTTTTTTATAATTTACATTAATTTAAAATTATGTATTAGGAATAGTTATTAGTCCTAATAAATTTATGCTTGATATTTTTAAAAAACCATAATATTTCTTAAAAAATTTTATTATCCCCCCCCCCCCCCCCCCAGATGAAATTTCTGCGCACGCGCCTGGTTATTGGGTTAAAGTCTATAATAAGAGAATTTTGTTTGAATGCCATAAATCTTTCTCAACTCTCTCAAAAAACGTCTAAATTTATCCTAATATAGAAAATGAAGTAGAAAGAATGTCACAGGAGAATCCTAATAGTACAGTAGAAATAAATTCCTATTATAGTGCTAAATTAGATTATTTCAAAAATAAATAAAAATATTCAGTTAAAAATATTTTTTTAGCTAATGACTTTCTAAGTCTTCTTGAATTTTTTGTGAATAAGTGAAATTAGAATCTTAACAATAATTAATAAATATCAGATTCTAGATCATAAGAAATGCCTACTAGGTGGTAATATATTATATTAAAACATAATTTGAATAACATGGATTAAGAATTGCTTTGGTTCTTATTAAAGCTTTCTCAAGATTTATAAAAATCCGAATCTTAACCTATTTAAAAAATTTTAAGGAATCCATTCTAACAAAAGTGCAAGTAATTTATATATGTTGTTTAAAATGTTGTATGATTCTTTTTCGGAGGGTTTATTTATTATTTAAAATTGCTTTAATAGAGTTTCAATCCAGAACCTGCAGCCGATAATAATATAATAAATGATGACTGACGGTCAAAATTAGATTTTTTATAATTGGATAAAAAATATTAAAGATTAAACTATAAGTAAGGAATATAGTATCCTACCACCAGATGCAATCATTGTAATGGATAATGCATCTATCCATAGAAGCCATCTTATCGATTCTTATAAAGGTAGGATTGAATACCTACCACCTTATTCACCTCAGTTAAATCCCATTGAAAATTTTTTTGGAGTTTTGAAAAATAAATTTAGAGCAATCAATCCCCGCCCTAATTCAAGAGATGAAATTGTTAAGAATATTATTCAGCTCTTACACGGATTTATTCCTTATGATTTCACTAACTTTTACAATCACATGCAAAGCTATTTGGAGTTGGGTTATCGCGGGCAACTGATTAATTAGGTAATCTTTATAATCGATTTGTATTAATAATTATAATATTAACTCTTTTAATTTCTAAAAAGGTACCAACATCAAATTCGTGGAAAAATGGAATATTTTGATAAATTATAATTATATTTTTTATGTATAAAGAAAGAAA